TGTCCAGGCCAGAGAAGCTGCTGGCCTAGGCCGAGCAGAGGAAAGGGGGCCCAAAGCTAGGCTCTGCAGTAACCATGGTGACAGCGGGAGGGGCCTTCCCTCTGCGGAGGCAGCGCTAACTCATGGGACCTCTTGGTGGGTGGATGATGGGGGGTGAGGGGAAGGAAGAGGAGGGCGATGCTGGATTGGGGAGGGGGGCACCTGGGGAGGGGGTGCGGGGCCGGGGGCAGGGGGCGGGGTTGAGGTTCAGTCCCGGACACGTGAGCCTGAGAGGCCCATCAGACGCCAGGCGGCGTGCACACAGGCAGCTGGACACACGCGTCTGAAGATGTAAAAATAACCATGGAGTCAGTCATGGGCACACAGAGGCGTTTACAGCCCGGGGCCGAGAGCCTGGGGAGGGCGGGTGGCCGGGAAGACGCAAACCTCCGGGCCTTGTGGGGGGCAGGGGGAGCTGGGAGAGGAGACAGAGGTTGACGCCCACCCACGGGACACAGCCGGAGGAGCGGCTGTTGGCTTTAGCCCTCAGAGGTCACAGTGACCTTGGGCAGCGCCTTCAGCAGAGCAGCTGGGCAGCGGGCTAGGGGCAGCCGAGCACTGGGGATGGGGGCTGCTGACTGGGCCGCCAGCCGGAGCCTGAGGCTGAAGCCCAGAGGGCTCCCTCTGACCCACTGGTCCAGGCCTGTTCCCGATCCAGTTCCGGGGGAAGCACGTTCACCGTGTACGCAGGGCGCAAGGGGGCTTCACGGGCTCCCACAGGCAGGCTACCCCGACCTCGCCGGCAGCAGCGGGAACGGACGGTGCCCCAGGCCCAATGCACGCCCACCACCCGTCCACCCTCCGCAGGGACCGGCTAGGACTCGTCCAGGGCACACAGTTGGTCCGAGCAGAGGCGAGACCTGAGCCCAGGTGCTCCAATTCCCGGTCCGGAACCAGGGGCTGCAGGAAGCCCTGGCCCCCTTCTCGAGGTCTCCGTGGGGACGGAATGGCTGGCCACCACCCACACCCTGTCCTTGAGTGCCTGCCCAGCCCAGGACTGAGGAGTCACGCCCATTCCTGGGGGACACGGCAGATCCAAGGCCAGAAGGTGGGACCGGAGAAGGGACCCTCCCCACCATCACCACCTGGGACGCCCAACCTCTCGGAATGCGCCCAGCTCAGTTAGCAGAGCTGCCACTGCACAGGAGAGGCACGGGTACAGGCCAGTGGGACAGCTCAGGCGGCTTAAGGGGCAGGTGTCCCGAGGCTGCGGTTCCTGGGCAAGTTTGCAGGGCCAGATGTTGCCGAGAGTGGCTGGGCTCACGGCACCTCACCTGGCAGGCCCCAGCCCCCGCCAGGCTGCCTGTGAGGGGTGACGCTGAGTCAGGGACCCTGCCCTCCGGGAACTCAGCACCTGTCTCAGGGCAGGGATAGGAAGGGGGTACTGAACTAATACCTCACCTTCAGTGGCAGGAGCAGGTGCTGACCTCCCAGCCGGCCAAGGGGCTGCGGGCAGGAGGCGGCACCCAGTCATTTGTGGGCCAGACCCCTTGGGTCAGCAAGTCTCAGCCCCTGTGCCTATAATGACCCCCCAAAGGCCCTGCCAACTCCAGGAGTCAGGGTCCCTCCCGGGGGCTTTTCTGGGCTGAATAAAGCCCCAGCAGCTTGCACAGGAATTGGTGAAGCCCTCGGAGCTCTGAGGGCCCTCGGAGCGGAGGGCAGGGGAGCTGCCCTGGCTGCTCAGGAACCCTCTGGGTGCCGCACCCGTGGGTGGGCCGCCCCCTCCACAGGGCAGCCACACGAGAGACACCCCTCCCGCCATCCTAAGCCTCAACCCGGGGGGGAAGAGAGGGGCTGCCCAGGGCCACCGGGGGGCGCCCAGACCACCCTCCTCTCAAGGGAAAGGATCCAGGCATGAATTCTCTGGCCAGGACAGAGGTCGAGACCCCGAGGAGCACAATCCCGCTGAAGTATTACTGCCTTTTATAACGATTGTTACTTCTGTCAATAAGAGGTTTTCCCTTTCATCACTTTAAGTGAGGACACGGGGGCGGGGGCAGGGGGACGCTGGGACGAAGTGAGAGAGTGGCGTGGACATATATACACTACCGAATGTAAAACAGACAGCTAGTGGGACGCAGCCCCACAGCACAGGGAGACCAGCTCGGTGCTCTGTGACCACCTAGAGGGGTGGGATAGGGAGGGGGGGAGGGAGACGCAAGAGGGAGGGGATATGGGGATATACGTATAGGTATAGCTGATTCACTTTGCTGTACAGCAGAAACTAACCCAGTATTGTGAAGCAATTACACTCCAATAAAAATCTATTAAAAAAAAAAAAATCAGGGCTTCCCTGGTGGCGCAGTGGTTGGGAGTCCGCCTGCCGATGCAGGGGACGCGGGTTCGTGCCCCGGTCCGGGAGGATCCCACATGCCGCGGAGCGGCTGGGCCCGTGAGCCATGGCCGCTGAGCCTGCGCGTCTGGAGCCTGTGCTCCGCAACGGGAGAGGCCACAGCGGTGACAGACCCGCGTACTGCAAAAAAAAAAAAAAATCAGAGCTTTTCCTTCCTTCCACTAACTAAACTTTATTGTAAGAAGAACAAGTGGTCCTGGTTAAGAAAAGCAAAAACAGGAGAAAAGACCCAAAGCGGAGAGGGGCCCTCCTACCCCCGCCCGCCTGCAGCCCTTGATTCCCTCCTAACCTCTCCTCGTGGGCCCTCCTAGGAAGGAAATACTTTTCAAAAACAAGAGCCCTGGGTTTCCATGACGAGAAGGCAGGGCGGCCCCTCCTCTCTCCTTCCCAGGCTCCCCCTTGGCTGCAGCCAGGATCTGGGGAGTCTTAGCTGTGGGGACCCCAAGTACGAGGACCTGCCCCCAACACCCAAGGCCACCTGAGGGAGCTGGTCTTCAGGATAAGGGGGGCCAGGCGGCTGCACCCCTCACAGCCAGGCCCCCCAACACACTAGAGAGGGGCCAGCTCATCAGCTAGGGGCCAGGGAGGGGAGAGCGAGGAGGGTCCGGAGCCTCTGACCCGTGGGGAACCATGGCCACTGGCACTGATCGGGAGGGAGAGAGGCGAAGGGCTGGCGAGAGCCGGGCAGTGGCCCTGCGGGGTCTGCTTGGCAACTCCGCCTCAGGCCAAGCACCCGCAAGAGGATGACCGCAGCCCTCGTGCAGTGTGAGGATAAAGGGGGCGCTGCTAAGATAACCGGCATCGACAGCGGGGGTTCTGAGACCCTGGGGACCAGGACGTGAGATGCAGGGCTCAGAGTGGACAGCAGCCCAGAGGGGCCGCGTGTACCTTCCACCACCCCTAATCCCCTCCCCGCCCCCAGTCCCCGGCCGAGTCCTGCCCGAGCGCCTTCCCCCTCTTCTCCGCGACTCCCCTCCAGTCCAGCCCTGGCGCCTCAGCAGAGGAGGCTCTTCCCCGACGCCCCCGCTCTCTACCGCTGGGCTGCACGTGGTGAGACCCAGGAAAGGCCCGATGACCACAAGCCCACTTACAGGCTCAGAGTCTACGGTGTTGAGGACCCACTGCAGACTCCCCTACAGTGCACGAGGGCCCCCTCCACAGGTGTCCTCCAGGGCCGGCCAGAGCTCACCTCTCAACTAGCGCTCTCGGATACTGGCATAAAATCCACCACCAGGGGCTGCAGATCACTATGCCCCCTACCAAGAGGGACAAGGCCCACCCCGGGACTGCTCTTCGGGTGGGCCACCTGTCCCAGAGGCCGCACAGGCCCTGGCTCACCACCGTCCCGGCAAGCAACCCCCAACCAGCAGCCAGCCCCTGCCTCGGGCCATAGCCTCCTGGATCAGCAGGGCCTTCACCCCCGCCTCTGCCACCCTCAGGGGCCGGTGCCTCCATTCCCTGCCGGCTGGGGCCCCCCTCTCCCCAGCTCTGACCCTCCCCCACCCCTACCAGGCGTCCCTGAGCTCCCCAGGACTAGGATCCCACAGCTCCAGATGCAGGGGCTGGGCATGAAAGACTGATCGGCTGAACGAAGGGTGCACGGCGCCCAGGCCCCCTTGGAGGGGAAGCTGAGGCCCAGGCAGGAGGTGAGTGTGTCCGCGGCCGAAAGCAGACCCTTCTACCGCAACCACGAGGCTCCCAGAGCCAGCTCAGCAGAAGGGATGGAGGAAGGGACCCGGGAGGGGCACAGGGAGGGGGCCCTCCACACCCTGCCTGGGAAATGGCAGACACCCCAGGCATCCCGGAAGACTCTCGGGCAGCCTGGCACGTGTGAGGCAGCGTGCGCTCACACCCCCAGCATCCCACACAGACCCCCGGGAGCCTGGGCCGGCTCCAAGGCACCTGTCTCCGGAAACAGCTGCAGCTGCACAGCTCAGAGCCTCCGGCCGCTGAGCTGGAGATGCCCGGCTCCAGGGCTCCCAGCCGGCTCCTCCCGGCTGGGGTGCCGGCTCCGCTCAGGGGGCTGGGAGGGGGCCGTCCTCTCATCCCGGGACGGATCCCACACACAAGGTAGATTTCACTCTTCTCCGTTCCTACCTGGCGGCCCAGCCTCGGCTCCACCTGGGGAGGGTGGAAGGGCCACCTGGGGTCAGCGCTGCCCGGAACACCCATTCGCGTTTGGATTCAAAGACACGACTCAATCCCCAACTGAGGCAGAACTTTCTGGGATGCTCCCTGCCGCGTGATGGGGGAGGGGGCCAGGACAGGCTCCTGCCCTTTCGCCCCTCGGGCCTCCACCGGCTCCCGCAGGCCCCTCCGAGCCTCAATCCGCCCTTCTGCCAAGGGGGTCCCCGCCCAGGGCCTGGAGTCTGAGATGACGGCTCCCGGGCCCGGTGCGGTCGCGGAAGGGTCCTGCGTCCCGGCGTCCACGGCAGGCGCAGGCCGAGGCGAGGCCGGAGCGCTCTCCGGTTACAGTCCTCGGCCCCGGCGCCGCCGGCTATTTCGGGCGAGCTGGCCGCGCTCCGGGCCGGCCGGGCGCAGGAGGCCGCCGCCGCCCGCCCCGCGCCCCGCGCCCCGCGCCCCGTGCCCGCGCCCCGCGCCCGCTCACCTGCCACCGGCGACGGCTTGCGCAGCACCAGCCACCTACTCTTCCACTGCGGAGACAGAGGGAGCGTGAGCGCCAGCCCCGCGCCCCGCGCCCGCCGCCCGCCCCGAGCCCCGCGCCCCGCGCCCCGCGCCCCGCGCCCGCCGCGCGCCCCGACCTTCTTGCCGTCCCGCAGCTTGACGTGGCCCTCCACCAGCGCCGCCTCGGTCATCTTCTGTCATGGTTCCCGCGCGCCCGCCGCGCCTCTGCCCGCCGCCCCGCGGCCGCCCAGCCCAGGGTCACTTTCAAAATAGCTCCGGGAGGGCCCTGCGCCGGCCGGCGGGGCGGGCGGGGCGGCGCGCGGGCGGGGCGAGGTGCGCGCCCAGCCGGCCCTGCCCTACCCGCGCCCCGCCCCGGCGCTGCGCCCCGCGGCACCTGAGGCCACCTGAGCGCCCTCCGGAGCCAGGCACATTGCGGGGCTCGGCCGCTGGCGCTCCGGCACTGCTCACCCCGGGGCGGGGGGCGGGGGGAGCGGGCTCCCCTCCAAAAGCAAAGGAAACGCCCGACGGGAAGGGGGCGTCCGCGCGTCCAAGCGCTTGGCCCAATTTTAAAGTGCGCCTCAACGGAGCTGGCTTCGCCCTCTGGCACCTGTCCCTCCCACCACCCCGAGCTGTCACCAGACACCGCTGACCACAGAATGACCGTGGGTCGACCCTGGCCGAGACATTGCCCTGCCCCCCAGCCCTCCAAGCCCCCTCTCTGCTCCCCCCAGACCACCCCCACTCCCCAGGCAGGGTGATGGAGGGGGGTTCATTCACGTCCCCTGGCAGCAGGAATCCCAGGGCAGGTTGCTGCCCAGTAGTGAGTGGGACCACAGTGCCGCGGTCTCCATGTCTGGTTCCCCCTTCCCCCGCCCCCGCCCTGGGGTTGAGAGCTATCCCTCCGGGCAAGGATGGCACAGAGGTTCTCTGCTGCTCTATGAAGGCCCCCGAGAGTCCCCTTTGCAGTGGGGGAACTCTGACCTTCCGGATTTCCCCTCCTCCACCCTGTAGCTCCAGTCCAGCTGCCTGCTGTTCTTTGGGAACCCAGGTGGTTGAGGGACCTGGCAGGTCGACATCTCAGACTTCAGCCCCCATCTATCGCTAAGACAACCTCTGACATTCACCCCTTCAGGAGCAACCAACAAGGCGAGGGGCCAGTGGCAGAGATGGGGCAGCTCCCTAGAAGAGCTAGGAGAAGCAATGTACCCTACTCGAGGTCCCACCCTAAGGGAGCTGATATCCCGCCGGGAGGAGAGGGGAGGGCTCAGTGGTGTCCTGTTACCCTGAAATCTGCCTGGGTGGGAACAAGTGTGTGCATCTTCATCCCATCCAGGTCTTGCCTCTCACGGAGGAGGAACTAACGCTCAGAGCTGCGGGCGCCTCCAGGACTGACCCACGTTGGCTGAGCCCCAAGCGGGGCACAGGATCCGTGGGGGCAGGCAGAGCCCTGGGCTGGAGTCCCAGCTCAGCAGCCACCATGCTGGGCACATAGAGGGCCATGTCCTTCCTCTCTGGGCACCCACTCCCCCTTCTCACTGTCTCTGGGGAGCTGAGAAGGCAGGTCCCTGGTGGGCACCACCCTCATTCAGATGCCCTGGGGATGTCCTGCCAGGGCGTAATGCAGAGCAGCGTCACGCCAGGCCCAGGAAGCAGCTCTGTGTCTCCTGTGTCCCCTCCTCCAGCACCACCTCCAGCGGCACCTGTGCAGCCACCAGCCGCCTTCTGCAGAGCAGTTGCCCGACTACAGAGCCCCATTCACGCTCCCCACACATCTCAGGCCCCCAGGAGCTGGCCCAGGACAGCCGGTGTGGAGTCCGGTGGCGCTGGGGGCTGTGGCCACCAACGCATCCGCCGCCCCAGGCGCCTGGCACTTGGTCATCCCTGCAGGGAGGGTCAGTGCCCCGCTGCATTCCCGAGCGCTGGACCTGACCCAGGCTCCTGCCGTGCCTGGAAGCTGCACCTGCTCCGACACTGGCCCGAGAGAATGCGGGCCGCCGTGGGGACAGACGGCTCCCCCCGCCTCACGCCGGCTACTTAGAGGTGGGATCTGCCTGCCTGGCTCCCACTCCCAGACCCTGGCTGGGCTCCTGGCCTCTCTCTCCTAAGTTCCTGCTGTGGACCGAACGTTTGTGTCCCCACCCCCCAAATTCACGTTGAAGCCCAACCCCCAAGGGGATGGTATGAAGAGGTGAGGCCTTTGGGAGGTGATGAGGTCACGAGGGTGGGGTCCCCAGGACTGGATTACTGTCCTTATAAGAAGAGGCATGAGGGACAAGTTCCTTCTCCTCACCCAGCACTGAGGACACAGCCAGAAAGCAGGCATCTTCACGCCTGGAAGAGGGCTCTCACCTGACCCCAGCCTGGCATCCTGATCTCTGACTTCCGGCCTCCAGACCTGTGAGAAATGAACCTGTTGTTTTAGCCTCGCGGTCTACGGTGTTTTTGTTATAGCAGCCCGAGCGGACTAAGACAGTTTCCCCAGCTGTTGCAGCCAGAGTTGCTGGTTGCAAGTGGCAGAAGCTGACTCTGGCCACTGAAGCAGGAAGGAATCTGCTGGAAGAATGTCAGGTGTTGAGTAGAACCCAGGGGAGGTGGGGATCCAGCGGGAGCTGCAGGAGATAGGGCACCAGGGGAGCACAGCCACGCTCGTGAGACCGGACGCCACGCCCGCCCTGCGCCACTGCCCTGCCGGACTCCACAGCCGCCTTCCAAGAAGCCCCCCGACCGTGGGTCAGAGCTGTACCACCGGCTGGCCACACAGCCACGGGCACTGCTGCTGGACATCACTGCCAAGGACACTGCCACCACTGCCAGACTCCATGGCCCCAGGGCAGTGTCACCCCATCAGTGGCTCTGCAGCCGAGGGATCTGCCGTCAGACGCTGCACCTGCCGTCCACCACCCAAATGAACTTTAACCATCACACGACTTTTCTGGCCTGTTTCCTCTCCCAGCCTGATGTTATTATGATGAGCCCCCAAATGAGATGATGTATGTGAGGGTCTCTCAAAATGATCACGGGTTTTACAAACACAAGGGAATGATGGGGACCAGGGCCAGGCCGCCTTGTCTTGTATCTTCAGGTGCTCAGTGAGGCTGGAGAAGGACACACACCAGCTGATCGTGGCAAACTCTATGCCTGTGTCCACCCGAGCGATACCCTGTGTCACTCCTTCACAATTCCCAGCTCCCCTCGGTCAGGTGGGGCCACATGAAGGGGCTCTGGATGGAAGAGTGGGAGGAGGTGATGACCGCCACCTCCCAGCCCTGCATGTCTGCCACCCTCCTCATCCACTGCATGGCGAGATGGGGTATTATGGACCCAACTGTGTCCCCGCTAATCCATCTGTTGAAGCCCTAACCCCCACTATGACTGTATTTGGAGATGAGGTTTTTTTTAATATTTAAGTATCTATTTATTTATTTACTTGGCTGCGCCAGCTCTTACTTGTGGCACGCAGGATCTTTTAGTTGTGACATGCGGCATCTAGTTTCCTGACCAGGGATCGAAGTGCAGAGTCTTAACCACTGGACCACCAGGGAAGTCCCTGGAGATAGGATCTTTAAGGAGGTAATTAAGGTTAAATGAGGTCATAAGGGTGGGCCCCTAATCCCGTAGGACTGTGGCCTTAAAACACAGGGAGAAACACCAGAGCTCTCTCTGTCTCTCAGCACACACACAGGGCAAGGCCACGTGAGGACACAGCAGGACAGCGGCCGTCTGCAAGCCTGGAGGAGAGGCCTCCCCAGAGATCAACCTTACTGGATCTTCATCTTGAACTTCTGCCTCCAGAACCACGAGAAATTTCTGTTGTGTAAGCCCGCAGTCTGTGGCCTTCTGTTAAGGCAGCCCGAGCAGACTGGTACAGACAGTGTGGAAGATTGAGTAAATGGCTGCAAATTCCCCTCACCTGCACCCACACCCCTTGAAATGTGACCTCCTCCCACCGAGAGGTGGAGCCTGCCTCTCTACCCCGGAATCCGGCTCTACCCCGGAATCCACTTTGAGCAGCTCACGTCCACTCTTTCTTTGGAACCCGGCCACCACCATGTGAACGGGCCCAGGCTAGCCTGCCGGATGACAGAAGACGTGTGGCCCGGTCACCCCACAGCCCCAGCCAAGAGCCAGCCAGCCCCCGGGGGCAGAACCGCCTAAGACCCACTGACGACCCAGGTACGTGGCGGAGCCAGCCCAGGCGGCGAGAAGCACCCCGCCAAGCAAGGCCACGTTACCAACCCGCCCGGCGTCGTGAGCTCAGTACGTGGCTGCTTGTACGTCGCTGCGTTTGGATGTCATCTGTGTCATCGCAGCAGCACTCTGGTACACAATGTCCGGAAGCTCTGCAGAGAAGGAGCCTGGACCCCGCCGAGTCGCCACGGCCAAGGGCACCGGCAAACATCCAAGCTGAACAGGAGTCCGCACACAGCAGGCGGGATGAGTCGGGGAGACGCCCCCACCCGCACGTGTTGTGGTGAGGCCGCAGCACAGCAAAGACAAAAGGCACGAAGGCTGCCGGATGGGGTTGGGGGGGGCGGAGTCATGGCAAGAGAGCAACAGTTCGACTTAAAGCAGATTTCTCAGCAGACAGCGGAACGCCACCCAAGTGCTGACAGCCAGTAACTGCTGATGTGTGAGGTGCAATGCCAAGCGAACAGCTTTACGGCAACAGACGTGGAAACGGAGACAGATACACTCACGGAAGTGTAACTTCCTAAAGCTAGCTCAAGGAGAAACAGTGTTCTCCACAAGTCCCAGAGCGTGAGAAAATGGCTCTGTAGTTAAATAACATCCTGCAAAGAAAACACCGGGCCCAGGGAATTTTATAGGAGATTCTACCAAACTTTCAAAACACAGATCATTCCAGCTTTCTGCAGCCCTCCAGTGGATCAGGAAAGAAGGGACATTCTTGAACTCTTTCTATGAGATCAGTACAGCCATTCAAAGAGTATAAGACAGTCATTCCAAGAGTATAGGAGAGGAAAATTACAGGCCAGTGTCACGCAGGAACGTAAATGTAAAACCCTAAACAAACTTTAAGTCAATCCAAGAAAAGCTTATAACAAGTATGACAGAATGTGTAAGCCAGGGCCCCAGCAGCTGACACTACATTAGGACAATTCAAGGAGGGATTATTCACAAAGGTGTGCTCTTGGAAGGAACCACACCTTTGTACGTAAGGGGCACAGTACGTGACTGTGTAGCCCCCGGCCAGTCAGAGAGCCGTGGAACCACCTCTAGACCTGAGGTGGGGGGTTCCCTGAACCATGAAGGGGCGTCATTTACATCTTGGGAGGGTCACGGCCTTCAGTTAAGGGATCTGGGTGTATCCCTTGCTGGGGTACCGTCACAAAGCACCACAGACCGGGGGCTTAACCAACAGAAATCGTCTCACCATTCTGGAGGCCAGCAGGGCTGGGTCCTTCTGACGGTTGAGAACCTGCTCCAGGCTCTGTCCTTGCCTTGTTGAGGGGCCATCTCCCCCCTGCGTCTCTTCACATAATCTTCCTTCTATGCATGTCTCTGCGTCCAAATTTCCCCTTCTTAGGGGAACGCAGTCATATTGGATCAGGCCCCACACTCTCTAAAGATCCTCTTTCCACATCAGGTCACATTCTGAGGTCCTAGGGGTTAGGATTCCAATATACGAGCTTGGGGAGGACACAATCCAACCTATAACACTGAGGCGACCCCAGAAGAGGGAGCCAGGGAAATCAACACCCCAACCTCACACTCCTCCCCCCTCTGACCTTCTGCTGGGGCTCCCCCAAAGGGCACAGGAGCCCACTGACACAGCCCATCAAGAGCAGCCTATGGGGCACAGGGCAAGGTGGGGAATAAATCTGGAGAAGCCGACGGAAGGTAGCGGGCTCCCACCCTGACCCAGCACGGCTCACTACAGGAATGCAAGGCTGGCTTGACGTTAGACCATCTATAAATGCACGTCACCTCTTTAACAGATCCACGCTCAGCACTCACAGGGGAGGAGGTCAGGGAGAGCTCACATCAGGCAGGGGTGCAGTGGGACTGAAGCAACACGCTTCCTGGAGGCCGAGAACAGGTGGTCGGAGGTCCGAGATTCACGAGTGGGAGCCGCTCCACCCTCCACGCTCCTGGGGCACCAGCACCAGCCTCCACTGTCCTGGCTGCAGTCAGCGTGCTGGGGCTTCAGCAGCACGTCCCGGTCCGCTCAAGGGCTCTGAGCCCCACCCCCGGCATTTGGGGCGATGGGCACACACACTGCTGTCCTCCCAGTGCCCGTCTCTCTTCCTCCGGCTTTGCTGGGGGCAGTGCACGTCCCTGGTGATTTGTCTGGTCCTGTCATGACAACCCTGTTCCCTGCCCTCCCAGCTTCCTCTGCAGCTGGGTGTGGCCACAGGACCCCATTCAGGCCCCCTTGGTCAGGCCTCTCAGCGGTCCAAAGGCTGAGTGAAGGGGGAGGGGCGGTACGGGAGGGAATGTTCTAGGCAGCAGTGGGAGCACCGCCCACAAGGGCCCTGGTCAGTTTCACGAACACAAGGAGGCCCGAGTGGTCAGAGTGCAGTTGTGGGGGCAGAAGAGGGGCTGGAGGCAGGTGGAGTCAGACCACACAGAGACTGGGGGTAGGCTCCCAGATGGGAGGGGTGACATGGAGGAAGCCCTGGCGTGTCACCAGGACAGGCGGCGAGACCCGGTCCAGGTGGAGCTGTGGAGATGACAGCAGAGGGGAGTAGGGACTGTGGGGAGAAGGACCCCACCCTCTGGGCTGCTCTGGGCAGGAGCCCCATGCCCAGAGCAGGATGGGTGGGGCTGGGGCTGGATGTGCTGAATGCCACCCTCTTCCTGACCCTCCCTGAGACCAGGGGTCCCAGCACCGGGCACCGCTCTGACCCACCCCCATATACCCAGGCCTCTTCTCCTGACCACAAATGTCATCACATCCCCACCCTGCTGTCCCATCAGGAGCACTTGGGACACCCCCAGCACCTCACTACAGCCCACCCCCCCCACACACACAATCCCACCCTCTTTGGCCTCAGCCACACTTCCCTACTTTGATTCAAATAAGCCACTACCAGGGGCTTCCCCGGTGGCACAGTGGTTAAGAGTCCACCTGCCAATTCAGGGGACACGCGTTCGAGCCCTGGTCCGGGAAGATCCCACATGCCGCGGAGCAACGAAGCCCATGCGCCACAACTACTGAGCCTGCGCTCTAGAGCCCACGAGCCACAACTACTGAGCCCGCGTGCCGCAACTACTGAAGCCCACGCACCTAGAGCCCGTGCTCTGCGACGAAGAGCAGCCCCCGCTCGCTGCAACCAGAGGAAGCCCACGCGCAGCAACGGAGACTCAACACAGCCAATAAATACATAAATAAACAAATTTATAAAAATAAATAAATAAATAAGCCACCATCAGCCTCCTGTCTCAGGACCTTTGCATGTGCTGCTTCCTCTGGCCCAGGATTCTGGGCCCTTTGGGCATCTCAGATCCCGTGCCCACAGTGTCTTGCATGGCTGGTGCAACCCACTACCCTCCACTCACCCTGGCACTGGGGCTCCTCCCTTCCCCTGGCTTCCTTCAGAGGAAGTCTCCAGTTCTCCCCGCCTAGAAAACACGGCTGAGGGAGAGCTGCAGTCGGGCAGGCTGCCTCCTTGAAGCAAAATGATAGCCAGAGGTTTTCCCAAATAACCTGTCTTAAGTTCTAGCGTCCGCTGCCGTGGGACAGCCCAAGGTGCCCGGACCCAAGCCCCACTTGCCTGGGGGAGGGTCTGAGAGGGGTCTGGCTGGGCACAGCTCCTGCTCTGGAGAAGGTCTAGTCTGGATCCCCATCCTGACTGCCCAGGCCATGAGGCCAGACCCCCCCTGTGGGGTCACAGGCTCCCTTCTCCTCTGAGCAGCTGGGGTGCTGGCTTGGGGCCCCCAGCCCTGAAGCCACAGCATCCACAAAGCTGGGTCGGGGGTCACGGCCTGGGGGCGGGGAAGGCTGAGCTGGCGGCAGCGGGACAGGCAGTGTGGGCCGGGGTCTTTTTGGAAACATGTTTATTGACAGTGAGGAGGGAATGGCAGGAGGCACGATGTCCCCAGGGGTGGTCTCAGGAGGGATTCACGGGCCGCTTGGGGGGCCGAATCCGGTCGCTGATCCAGTCCACGTAACGGGTCACGCGGGTGTAGACGCCGGGCTTGTTGAACTGCCCGCAGCCGTCACCCCAGCTGATGACGCCGTACAGGTAGGCCACGCCATTCTTCTCGCAGGCCAGGGGCCCGCCTGAGTCCCCCTGCGCAGGGCGGCCGGTCAGAGCCTGGGGCCTGGCCCAGGAGACTCACGGCTCAGCTCCTCGACACCCATGAAATAGTCCACCAGCCCCTCACCCCAGGCTCCCTCGCCCCAACCCGGAACATGCCTCCAGAGGGGTCAACCCTCGAGGTGGGCTTCCCGAGAGCTTGGGCACAGATGACATGGGTATTCCAAGTAAGGGGGCTGCCCCCCTTCCCCCAACCGCATAGGCAGGGCGCCCTCCCAATAGTGGGCTGCTGCGGCCCCCTCTCGCCTCCACAACCAGCAGAGCCCTCCTCCATCTGGGTCCCCCCTCCGCCCACCATGTGCACCAGGCGGCCCCGCGCTCCAGCAGACCTGGCAAACCCCTGTTCACCCCCTGGGACAAGTGCCAGCGCCCCTTCCTCCATGAAGCCACCCTTGGCTTCCCCCAGGGCGCTTGCTGTACCATGGGGTTGAGTGCCGAGCCCCCCACCCTTTGCCACCTGTGAGTTGTGTGACCTGGGAAGAGTGAGCAGACCTCTCTGGGCCTCAGTCTCCCCACCTATAAAAGTGGGGAGTAAAGCAGCTTCTCCAACTCAGCACTGATGTGCAGACCCGAGGAGCCCTTGAGAAACGGGACACTGGGATCGGCCGATCGCTTGAGCCCATTTGGGAGAACTCTGGGTGAAAAGGGGTTTGGCCTTCGACGTCACGTGGACAGCCCTGCCCTTGGCTGGACAGCTGGCCCGAGCCTGGGCTTTGGGAGCCGGCCCCTCCCGGGCCTCAATCCCCGCCCCCTGTGAGCAGGGACCCCACTCCTGGCCCCCGGGCCTCCAGCAACAGTGAGCGCCCATCCTGGGGGTGCTCCCGGCCGGCCCTGCGCTCCCAGGGCGGCCATCCCGGCTCACCTGGCAGGCGTCAGACCTGCAGTCGAAGTAGCCGGCGCAGAGCATGTTGGGGCTGACGTCTGCCCCGTACACCTCCGGGCTGCTGCATTTGTGGTCGGCGACCAAGGGGACCAGGGCCTCCCGCAGCAAGCTGGAGTAGCTACTCACATCTGACGGCCGACAGGGGGCACTCAGCCTGGGCGAGGCTTGCAGGGCCGGGCCGCTGCTCCCGGGGGGCACGACGCTGGCCCCTCGCGCCCACCCCACTTACTCTCATCCTGGTGGCCCCAGCCCGCTATCTGGCACTTGTGCCCAGCGGGGAAGGTGCTGCCGGGCTCGGGCAGGCAGATGGGCTGGACGAACTGGGAGCGGACAGCACAGCGCTCCCCCTTCTTCTCCAGCCGGATGAGAACTGGACGGGAGAGAGGCAGGGGGTCAGCCTGCGGCCTGGGGGCCCACGATGGGCCGAAGGTGGCTGCTGAGTCACACGGGGTCCAGCCCCACCGGGCAGAGGGGCTGCGGCCTGGGAGGCCCAGGAGGCGACAGGAGGGCCAGCAATGCTGGCCAGCCAGGGTTTCCTCCAGCCGCGCCGAGGCCACTCGGCCACACCAGCTGCTCTCACTGCCCTCCCCCCGCCCTTCCCCGCTCTGTCTCTCCTTCCCCTCCCCCTCCCTCCCACCCGTCCCCTGAGTGTCTGAGGACCCTCCCCTGCCTGGCACCCACTCCCAGCCTCTCTCCTGGCTCTGGCCCTGGGTGTGCACAGAGCACACAGCACCGGTCCCGAGCCTCACCGAGGTCATGGTCACTGGGGTTGAACACTGAGTACAGGGGGTACGGGATGTACTTCTCTATGCCGAACGTCTGCGTCACGGCCGTCGTGCGGTTGAAGAAGTGTTGGCCAAGCACCACAGAGACACTTTCCCTGGGGGGGCTGTGCAGTGGGAGCTGGTGGCAGCATGACTCTCGGGCCCCTGAGGTCAGCTCGCCCCCTACCCACGGGGACAGAGCATCCGGTAGACGATCCCAGGAGGGTGACGCTGTGCAGGGCCCCCACCCCCACCAGGCCCTGGGAGAGACCTGAGCAGGGGCTGGGGTGTGCGCCGTAGTGCAGTAGGGAGTGCGGAGCTAGGGCCACAGCCCCCGTCCTGGCAGCACCGCCTCTAAGGCAGTGGCATGAATGACCCTGGGGGACCTTGTGCAGGTCTAGGTGGGGTCTGCGCTGACATGCACCCACGTTGCTGCGGATCCCAGCTCTGGGCACCGGTTCTGCCCCACGCCCCTGCTACAGGGGCAGGCCTCCTGTGAAGTCACCCGTGGGGCCAGGAGCCTGAGTACTCCCCTCACCCCCCGCACCTGCACACGAATGCCCTGTCCCACCCACCTCCTCCAGCCCTGCTTGGCCCAGGCCAGGGACCAGGGTGCTGGAGTCCAGCCCACAGGGGACGGGCCCCTCCATCCAGCTTGGCCCTCCCCAGCCCCTCCCTGGACGTGAGCAGAGAATGCCTGCTCCCCTTCTCCAGCCTCTTAACCACCCCCATCCCATCCATACTGGGGAGGCCTCAGGAGTCCTGTTTCACAGGTCGCACAGTGGTCAGCACAGGGCAGGACGTATGCCCACTGCCCCCCACCCCTACGCTGTAGTCCCTGGGGTGACTGATGGGGACTCACCGTCGGACTCTCACGCTGCCAAGCCCCCAGCCGCCTCTCACGTCCCACTCCCTGGGATGCCGCTGTCAGGCCCGTTCCCTCCCACTGAACCCCCCCCAGAGAGAGCCCCCCACTCCCCACGGCAGAGCCTTGTTCCCATCACAGCCGTGAGAAGCGGGGGACGGGTTGGCCTTTCTTGCTCTGAGCTCGCTGTCCCCCACCCTGGGGCGTGGTAGTGGGCCTCGCACCCCTGACCCTTCCCCCAGCCGCCAGCCCCAGCCGGCCCTCCGCTCCGGTAGCCCGCCGAGTGGGCGGGGCCTCGGGCTCCCTGCGCCCCACGGTGCCACCAGCTCGGTCTGGGCCGGGGTAGCGGGGCCGGAAGGGGCGGGCCCTGCGAGGCACGGGCCACACCCACCACCCTGCCGCGCACGCGCTGGCCGCCCCGCCCCGCCCCTCCCTGAGCGGGGAGAGCTGGAGCTCCCGGGGCGAGGACCAGGGCTGCGCGGCCACACGGGCAGGGACAGGGACAGGGACAGCACCCCGGGGCAGGAATGGGGCGGGTCTCGGCAGTCTCCACGCCCAGCACTGGGCTGAGCGCTGAGTCCCACCTGAGTCAGAGGGGCAACGGGGAACGGAGGGACCAAAGGACGGGGTTTACACGGGTAGGTGGCAGAACGTGGGGACACATGGGTGATGGTTAGGACAGGCGGGTGGGTGCGTAGATGGGTAGCGGGTAGAGAGTGGATGATGGGTGTATGGCCGGGTGGGGGCGCGGAGGCCTAGATAGCGGTGGGCGGAGAGGTGGATGGCTTGAAGGATGGCGCAGGGGTCGTGGACACGGGGGCCAGAACCGCTCACCTGTTGGAGAAGCAGTGGGCGGCAGACACCACCCAGCAGGTATGGACAAGGCTCCCGGCACAGAAGCTGTTCCCGATGTAGATGGCGGCCAGCCAGGGGTGGGAGCCGGGCAGCGAGGACGAGCCACCAATGATGCGTGGCCGTAGGAAGCTCCTCTTCTTGTGCCTCTTGCCACAGGTCTGGCGTCCGGCTGGTCCAGCTGCCGCGGGCCCAGGCAGGCTCAGCAGGGCCTCGGTGGGCGGGGGCTGAATTCTGGCAAGGGATCCTGGGAACACAGGTTACCCGCTCACACACCCCGGGTCCCTTCTGCACACCCCAGGCCAGAGAGGGTACTGGCTGCGTCCACCATCCTCAGGTCCCCCGTGGTTCACCTGCCTCCTGACCCAGCCTAGGCAGCTCGTCTGAAAGAGGGTCCCCAGCTCTGCCCCTGTGGGCACATGACTTACTCTGAGCCTCAGTTCCCTCATCTGCAGGATGGTGAGAGCCGCACCCAGCCACAAGGCTTTGTGGGAACCAGGGTGGCCTGGCACACCTGGCAGGTATTCATGTCCTTCCCAGCAGCCTGGAACCCCAGAGCCAACTCGGGATGGTCAGAGAGGCCTGGAACACGGGGCCAGGGGGCGGGCTGGCCTCATGGAGCAGCCCACTGCCAGGGTCTGACTCCAGGGTACTCACATTATCCACATGCACCCACACTTCCCTGTCTCTGGGGACCGTCCTGGCACAGTGCAGCCCGGCTGGACCACCCAAAGGACCCGGTGACCAGCTCGCCTGCTCTGACCTCTGGTGTCAACCCACTGCGTGGCCTTGGACCAGCCCTGCTCTGGTGAGCCTCAGTTTCCCCATCTCTCCGATGGGGCCGTGGTCCTCCGGAGAGAGGAGGCCTGGCATGCAGGTGGAGTGGGTTGGGCCACGGGGAAACCACGGTGATCTCAGCGGGGGCGGGGCCAGTGCTGCCCCCACCCTGCTGCTTCCCACCCAGCCACTAGCTGCGCGCACCGCAGGCTGCCAGGCGGCAGTACTCCCAGGAGAGCGCGCTGTCCTTCACCACGTAGCACCAGGGCCTCTCGTCCTTGTCCGGGTTCCTGGGGTGCAGGGAGAAGCAGGTGGGCAGCGGAGTCAGTCACGGCTCCTCAGTGACGGGTGGGAGGAGAGAGCTGGGGACCCCTAGCTGGGTGCGGCTCCTGGCACTCTGCCCACCCCCACCCCACAGCCTTTGGCCCCTTCTGCAGGTGGTTCCAATCCCTGGCCCTGGGCTCCTCTCGCCACACAGCCTCCCAAGCCGAGGGGTCAGGACTCAGGGACAGGCCCTGCCCGCCCGGTGCTGACCGGCAGTAGGCGTGGGGCCCTAGGCCGAGGAGGGCCGCGGCGCCCACAGAGTCCACGTGCAGCTCCTGGTAGAGCAGGTCGGAGTTCCAGGCCAGGCAGCTGAGGCCCGAGGCCGCCGTGCTGGCCACGCCTCGGTACTCGGTGCCACTCCCCACAAAGCAGGGCTGGGCCGGCACTGCGGGCGGCACGGTGCGTGGTGAGCCTGGGCCCCAGGACGCGGGGCCGCACAGCTCTGAAGTCGAGCGACTCACCAATGTTGCAGAGCCGCCCGGCGTGGTCTGGGGGGCAGGCGCATACAGTGGTCCCGGTGGCCACGATCAGGTGACAGGTGCCCCCATTCAAGCAGGGGCTGCTCAGACAAGCTGGGGGGAGGGCTCAGAAGCTGGGCCTTGAGGGGCAGGGGCAGGGCCTGGTTCCCACCCGGTGCCCGTCTCTGGGTGGCCCTGGACGAGCCCCTTCCCCGGGTGGGAGCCCCAGCGATACGGCCCGCCCCCCCGTACCTGTGTGGCGGGTGCCCTGGCACCGGACCTGGCCCCCCGCACACTCGCACTGTTCCACTTGGCCCCGGTGCACGCGGGCCCAGCGATCGCCCACCTCCAGGTACTCGTAGCGGCTCTCGTCAAAGCATTTCTCTGGGGGTGGCACAGTGAGCCGCTGCTCCCCGCGCGTGCGGCTGGCGCCCCCCTGCCCTGCAGCCCCCACCCTGCTCACCCGTGCCGCAGTCCTTGCCAGTGAAGGCCACGGGGCAGGTGCAGTGGTACGACTCGGGGTCCTGGGTGCTGGAGCATGAGCCCCCGTTGAGGCAGGGGCCAGAGGCACATGGGTCCAGGGCAGCTGGGCACACGCAGCAGGGAGGGGTGTGTCTGAGAGCCCGGCCAGGCCTCATGACTCCCTCCCCACGCCGTGACTCTCTCTCATTGCCGAGGGCCCACCACCTTAAAGCTGCCCCTCCTGAGTTCCGTGGTGTGTACGTGCCCTGGGAGTGAGCACAGGTCTTCCCCCTCACCACATCCTTTGCCCAGCTCTCAGACCCTGGGCAAGTGGGCCTCTGGCTCTGCATCCAGCACCCTGAAAGCCCGACCCCCATCGGGCAGCGCAGTCCTTTTCCGTGTGCCCTGGGACCCTTGTAGGCGGGGCTGCCAGCACCACACCCTGCAGACCCCTTGGGCCCCCTCCACGTCCAGCGCTCTTCCTGTGCAGCCGCAGGGCCCAGCCTGACCACCAGGGGGCGCTATGACCCCCGGCAATGGCCAAAGCAGTTATGTGGCCCCCCGAGAGGGCAGGACCTGCGGGGCAGGGTGTTCCCCACTCCCCACTCCTGCAGGCCCCGAGGCCTGCAGTGGGATGAACCCCGAAGCCCCCTCCTGCACACCAGGCAGGACCCCAGCCCCAGGTCAGCTCTGACGCCCCTCAAGCTCACCGCCACCACCGGCCCAGCCCCCTCCTAGCTTGCGCTCGGGCCCAGACCCCCGGCACCCACCTGGGCCCTCCCGGGGAGTGGAAGCCTGCACACAGTAGCCCCAGGCCCTGTCCCGGTCATAGTTGTGAGTCGTGGCACACCTGGGGGTGACGCATGCGGTGACGCGGGGGTCCCAGGCCAGAGACCCGCCCACCCTAACCCCAACTCACGCAGGGACCCACGCTGACCACTCTGGGGCTTTCTCCCATTCACTCCCTCATTCATTCATTCACTACATCTGCTGTGTGCCAGGCTCAGTGTGGAGTACGGAGGGCAGGGAGCGGAAGCGTCTCCAGGGCGGGCACGGGGCACAGGGACTGGGACCCACCACTTCCTGTGGGCACTTCCCTCTGTAGTGCAGGAGTGGACCATGCGGCCGCCATAGCGGAAGGGGAACCTGCAGGGCTGCCCGGCCTCGGTGAGCACTGCTAGAGGAGACACAGGGATCAAGGGCTCCCGCACTGGTCACCTCCCAACCCCCATCACATACCCCACTCCCTAAGTGCTGCTGTGTTCCTCCAGACCCCCCATCTAGGTATAGCCTGCCACCTCCAAGAAGCCTTCCTGACCCACCTGTGCCCCCAGGGCTGCTATTGGAGGGGGCTGCCCTGGGCAGGTGGGTAAGCCCTCCACCATGGGGTCCCTCTGCCCTGGGTGCTGTCGCTGTGGCTGGGGTCCTGGGGGTCACCGAGGTTACGGGGATCGCGGGAGTCCCAGGGATCACTGTGGCGTTACATTCTGGGGGTTCCGTTGGGTTCTAGGAAGAGCCGAGAGGCCTGTGATGGGGTCGGTGTGGGATGGACCCCACTCACACTCAGGCCCTGACTCAGTTTCCATATTGGGGCCCTGAGGTCTTGGAGTAGAGACCAGGGGACACTGGCTCTCCCATGGCCTCAGCTGGACCCTGTCCCCTCCCCTCCCACCGAGTCCAAGGAGTCAGGCTGAGCTGGCTCAGGGTCTGCCAGGCTGGCACCACTGCCCTCCAGGCTCGAACCCTGGGGGTCTGTTCTGGGGGACAGACGAAAGCAGCTGCGAGGCCTTCAGAGCCCCCCCCCCGCCCCCACCTCAAACACGTGGACCCAGCAGAGGCCCAGAGAGGTGAACAGTCTCCATGCCCCTGGGTGGGGGCCAGCAGGCTGGATCCCCAGGCCCCCCGTCCCCCAGGCCAGCCCAGCACGCCCACCTCACCCCCGGAAGGCTGGCCGTCGCCACTCCGGGCCCTTCACCCACCCCACACCCTGCCCTGGCCTCAGCCCCAGGACCCGGAGTGGGCACGGAGAGCCCATGATCACAGTGCAGTGGGGTCAGTGCTCACCCTGCCAGCCTGGGGCTGAGCCCCTCGAGGCACCAGCAGCAGCAGCAGCAGCAGGAGCAGGGACAGCCCAAGTGGGGGGCAGGGGCTGGGGACCCAGGCCCAGCGCCCCATGGCTCCTCCTGGGCTGGCGTGAGGAGCAGCAGGAGGCGGGAGCAGAGTGGCCAGGGCAGGTGGGGGTCAAGGCCGCCTGGAAATGATTAACCCTGGCTGCCTCCCGTGCCAGGCCTGCACATCCCCCATGTCTGCTGCCCAGCTCACCCAGCCTGAGCCAGCCGGCCCCTCTGGCCTCAGCCATGCTGGTCCTGGACCTGACAATGTCCTCGAGTCTCAGCTACGACGCCTCCTCCAGGAATTCTTCCAGGATGACACGGCAGGAAGGGGCCTGGACCCCCACAGCCCAAGCTTCCGGTTCCTACCTGGCCACAGGGCTGGCCACTGTCTCTTTGTGAGCTATACCAACCAGAGCACCTACACATGCTGAGCCCTTTTGAGGGCCCAGGCCTGGAGCATGGGATGTGGCCCCTGGCCTGCAAGAGGCCAGGCACAGAGAGGAGGGTGTGTGCACCGCTGCACACAACGCCCCCTGGGACAGAGACCTCTGCTGCCCTTCTCTACAGCACTTCTGCCTGTGCCTCCCAGGACGAGCCTGGGGTGGGGCCTCCAGGGGGAGGCGGAGTGGAGCAGAGGAGGTGGGCAATACCAGAGGCCCTGCCTGCTGTCCTAGCTCCCCGCCCCCACTGCTCCTGGACCCGCTTGGGCACCCCCTCAGGAAGCCCTCTCGCCCCTGGGCTTCCCCTCGTAGCCGGGACCACCCGTGCCATCCCGCCTCTGTCCTGGGCTGCCCTCCTTCCCATCCCAAGCCCCGGCCAGGCACCAGGGCCACAGAGACCTGGCTTGGGGTCCTGCCCAGGTCTGTGAACGGACACTGGGGTGTCGCCCCCAGACGCGGCCACAGTTGTCGCCCCAGCTGGCCCCTGGTTCATGACTGCAGCTGCAGGCAGAGCTGCCACGGGAACCTCTTCTGCAATTTGAGGGGCCGCGGAGGCGGCAGGGGTGGTGGTGGTGGGTGGCCTGGTCCCCATGAGTCAGCTCAGCTGCCTGCATGGGGCGGAGAGAAGGGCTGGCCGGGGGATGGGCCTGGCACTGCAGCTGTCTCACTGTGCACCCCCAAATCGCACTCTCTCTGGGCCCCCGTTTTTCCCTCTGTGCAGACGGAGCGAGAGCAGAAACCGAGTGGGTACCCAGCTTGGCACGCGGTGGGTGCCGGGCCCTCTCTTCCACGCGGGCACCCCCAGCTCAGAGCACAGCTCCCTGGGAGGATCCAGAGCAGCCCAGCGGCCCAGGGCACACTCAGGCCTAGGGCCCTTCTGACAAACCTGACATGCATCTCGGAGGAGGGAGGGGTGCTGGGGGCCCCTCAGCTGCTCAGCGCCGGGGTTCTGCCAAGGCACCCGGGCTGATGGCGCCGTCTCTATCTGTCCTGCCCACCCAGCATCACACGGCAGCCCTGCCCACTGGCCTGGCCTGCTACCCCGTCCCCTCCCGGCTCGCTCAAGCCTCAGGACCTCTGCACAGGCTGACACTCTTTCCCAGGCCTTCCGGGCAGGGCAGTCAGGCTTCCCCTGAGGTGGTCCCTCCAGAGACAGGCCCTGCCAGACCACCTCCCTAAATGAGGCCAAGGGCGAGGGATTGGGTCAGAGTGGCCTGAAGGGTCCCCAGGCCAAGCTCTGCCCCCACCGGTGGCCACCCCAAGAGGAGACCCTGTACCAAGCTGCACGAGGCGCTGTGACGTGGACAAGACCAGGGCCCTGGAGGGGGCAGGACCACGTCCCACTGCCCACAGGCTAAGCCTCGCGCCCCGCGAGGCCAGCCTTATTTCCCTGCTCACCTCCGACCTCACCCCCGAGAGCCGGTTCTCCCCAGCCCCCTGCCGGTACACGCACAGGGCCACAGGAACAACGGCTCCCTGAGGGCAGGGTCCAGGCCCCAGGACCAGGCACGAGGCCGACAATCTGGTCCTCAAAGACGCTTTATTGCGGGAAGGCTGGACGCCGAGCGGGAGCTGGGGCGGGGGCCAGGGAGCCCTGAGCCAACGCTGGCGGGTGCCCGGGGCCAGGACCCTCCCCGCCCTCTGCTGGTTCGGCCCCCAGGGGTGGCTGAGGAGGCCCGTCCGAGGCCCTCGAGATAGGCTCAGCGGCTCCCTCAGGATCTCTGCTCTCCACATGTGTGTCCAGGCAGGCGGCTGGGACGCCGGGACGGGAGGGAGGGCCGGCCAGCTGGGTCGGGTGCGCGGGCGGCAGCCTCAGACGAAGGTGGCGTGGTGTGGGCCCGCCTTGGGCTTGGCAGGTCCCCCCAGGCCGGGGCTCAGGCCGGGGCGGTCTGATGTCAGGGTCCCGCCGGCCCGTGACCTCCAGGGGCCCGTCCACACCCCCGGGATGCTGCTGCCCGGCCCAGGTGCTGAGCCAGCCACACGGTCCACGTCGACGATCGTGCTGACTGGGAGGCCTCGGCTGCCTCGGGCCCCACCTCCTGCCGCGGGGAGAAGAGAGAGTCTGTCACCCATCTGCCCACCCTGGGCTGGAGACCCCACCCCACCCTCCTGGCACAGATGGTGGCAAGGGGCTCCTGAGACCCCCACGTGCATCCCAGGGGCAGGCAACTTCTGACCTGGGGCCCCCAGGCCTGGCGCAGGGAGCCCTCTGCAGTGGGGAGGGTCCCAGGCCGAGGGAGCTGCAGGCTGCACAGGAGCAAGCTGGGGGAGGGGTCTGGGGGCGCAGGGCCCAGGTTCCGTGTGGTGGGACCGGCGCGGCCCCTCATTTGTCACGGGTACACCCTGCACCCTGTCCTCACCCGGCGCAGCCAGGACAGTGGGGACGGCCCACCCACTAGGGTGCTGTCCGCCCAGCTGGGGCCCCCTCTGGGGAGAAGCCCGGCACCCGAGCCCCTGCAGCTCCCCACTGATGCCCTGGGGGCATCAGGGGCACCCGCCCCCAGACGACACCGCGCTGCCCCTCGCCAGGGTGGGACGTGCGTGCCTGTGTGTGGGTTTGCGTCATGGGAAGGAGCACGTGGTGCCCCTCGGTGGGTGCTGAGATGGCGGAGGAGCTGGGGCGGGGGGGGGGCGGTCCCAGGGCCCCTCAGCGGGATGCAGCCGCCCCTGGGGTGGGGGGTGGCCGAGGAGGGCCACATGGGGGACGGTCTCGTGGGAAGCCTCCCAGCCACCTCCGCTGCGCCTCTCAGACACCCCCACAGCCCGTCCCGCACCCCACTGCGGCTCAGGTTCAGGGCCGGGCCTCCACTCCTCCTCGGGGGGCTGTCCGCAGCCGAGGGGCCGTCAGGGAGGGGCTCCAGGGGGAGGCATGCTGCTGGGCTGAGGGAGGACCAAGCACTGGGTGTGGGTTGACCCAGACGGGGCTGGACCCTCAGGGCACTCTGGGTCTCCATCCACAGAGCTCACTGCCCGGCGTCTCTAAGGGCTGCGGCTCCCAGTGGGGCAGGGGCCTGAGCCCCACCGCCGATGCCCGCCAGGGCCCTCGCGACCTGGCCACGCAGTTGTCCACCTGCCCGTCGACCCGGGCCTACCTCTTCAGCCACACAAACTCTGAGTCCTTCACGCTCTCCTACCCCATCAGCAACACCCCAAGCCGAGTGCCCCTTCCTCCACCCTACCCTGCCGCCTGCCCCCTTCCAGGCTGCTCAGTGGTCAGCCAGGCCTCTGTCTTCAAGTCCCCACCTAGGCCCCAGGAGTTCCAGGCTGCCTGAAACTGCCTTGGAAGCTTTTGATCCCAGGCTGGGCAGCCACATCTCCCTGCCAACCACCCCAGCAGGCTGTCACTGCGCTGTCACCCTGGCTGGTCCCGGGGGTGGGCCCTGGGGGACAGAGGTGCAGTCCCCAGGAACCAGGTCGCTGTGGGCAGGGCACAGGGCGCTCGGCAGGCGCCCTCAGCCTCGGCTCCCTCCACCGAGCCCCCCCAGGGCTCACCCCGGGGCCAGGGGCCAGGCAGAGCCCCAGGCCCTGGTGTGGGCAGGTGGAGCCAGGAGGCTAGCATGCCCGTGGGGTGCTCTCAGTGAGCCCGGGAGCCAGGGACCCTCAGGTGCCTGGGGTGCAGGGGGAGCCCCAGCCCCAGGTTCCCAGTGGACAGGCTGGAGGAGTCCAGGCGCAGGGACACCCCCTCTGGTGACCGCCCCTCCCGGGCCTTGCCGGTGGAGGCGAAGACCCTGCTCCCTGCGTGGGTCCGAGGCCTACGTGCGGGAGTGGGGACGGCCGTGGGGGTCAGGAGCCTCGCCTCCCCTTGCAGGAGCTGCTCTGTGGCCCCCAGAACCCCCGGGGCAGGTCCAAGCCTGCGAGGGGGCCTTGCGTCCTCTGAGCTAACAGAGGCGGCAGAAGGAGCCTTCCCCGGCGCCCGCGGGACCCACCCCTCCCCCGCTTGTCGGCGGCTTCGCAGGGCCAGCAGGTGATGGGGTGGGGCCGGTCTGCGCTTGGGCGGGGGCTGGGCAGCGAGGCAGGGCTTTGCTCCCCAACCGCTCGTCCCCATCTGGGGCATTTGTCTGGAGCATTAAGAGGCCCGTGACCCCACGCAGGTTGAGGGGCACGGCCCTTTCCTGTCCAGCCCCGTTTGGACCCCCCAGGAGGACAGAGGCCGGCGAGGGGAAGGGGCCTCAGCCACGGCCCGTCTGACGCCTGGGCAGCTCGGGTGCGCTCAGGATGCGGAGGGCCGCCTGCCTCTGTGGACGGGAAGCTCGTCCCCGGGCCAGGGACGGGGCGTGTCACAGGGAGGGTGGCTGCAGTCCAGGCCCTTCCTGCCTGCCCGCCCAGACTCGCTCTCCTGAGGAAGTGGCAGCCCCAGGCCTGTGACTCAGTGTCAGGGACCCAGCCCCGCGCGGCGGGCGGGCGGGCGTCACGGCCTCCGTGACAGGGCCTGCCCGGGGCGGCTGCCCTCCCAGCTTCCCGAGGCTCCCCTTGGCTCTCCTGGCGGGGGCAGCAGCACGGGGGACCCTGCAGGGCTCAGGGGCCGCCGATTCCGAAGGGAGCCGGGTCTGCCCTGTTCATGAGGGTCGCCCCCTGGGCCTCTGTGCCACGTCCCTCGGACACGCGCACGCGGGGCCGGAGCCAGCGCCGCATCCCCCGCCCCTCAGGCTGCCCTGCTGACCCCTCGTCTCCCCAGGGACCACGGGCCCTGCCCCCCG